GGCCTAATTTTCACCTTTTCGCCAAAAATGAAGAATGAGAAAATATCGTTTAGGTGAAAGAAAATTCATGTTTTTGATATTTTCTTTGATATAAGAGTGTTGCAAATAAGTTAATTTATTACACATAACTCTATATCCTACTTTGACAAAATTGATTGGCTCTGGTATTGGCATCATATTTCAAAATCCAGGATGGCTGACAATATCCAGATTAAACAAAACAAAAACATGGTACGAGCCTACTTCGGCCTGGTACAGATATATTATAATGATATAATATATTAAAATAATTAACTCACACTAATATTGCATATATAACGTATTATCTGATAGTGTGAAAAAAATAGTTAGGTACATGTACATACAGAGGATACAGTTATTAGCAGCAAGCATGCAATCACCATGAACAGGATGGTTAAATAATACTTTCTCCAGAGTAGCCCTGTATGCACTTTTCAATACGCATGGCAATTCATCATTTAATTTAAATGAAGATGTATATTGTGTATTAAAAGCACATATAAACCTGTTGTAATTAACAATTTTGAGAGCTTTTGGGAAGAACAAATTAGCATACAATGAGTGTTTGTAAGGTTAAGACTCATTTTGTTTTCGATTATCGATCATTGAAAACTGAAGGTCCTCACTTAATTTTCTCTCAACGTCATTAACCGACTCGCCTTTAACACTCTGTGAGGTGTCGTCAGCATACATTGTCACTGATGAATACTTGAAGTAAGAAAAGTGAAGGTCCCAATATCGAACCTTGGAGCATACCAATATTTATATTTTTGAAGAATCTTGCACTCTGTCAGATAGATACGATTCGAAAATGTCATTGATTGTTCTGAGACACCGTAAGCCTTGAGTTTAAGTAGCAACAATTCTTGGTCCACAGTATCAAAGGCTTTACGTAAATCTAAAAACAAAACACCTGTTAATTTACCATCATCAACACTTTTGAACCACTCATCTACTAAACCAGTAAGAGCAGTTTCTGTGGAATGGTTAGGTCTGAAACCATAGTGAGAATCAGAAAGTAATTTATTTGATGACAAATATTCATAAAAATAGTTATGTAAATGTCTCTCTAAACTTTTACTGGCAATAGAGAGGACAGATATAGGCCTTCATTTCTGTCTTTTCGGGACTTGATATACAATAATGGATGGTAAGCACGTCCAAGATTGCGATTTCCCTCATGTGCCTGGTGGTCTGCATGAGGGATGTTGTGTGATTTGCCGTGATGCTTTGGGGGATGACAAACAAAAGGTTTACAAGAAAGGACTTGATACTCTCATTCGTGTCAGTAGTCTGCGAGGGGACAATGATTTGCATGAATATCTACTTAAAAAGTCAGTCTTCACCCATCGGAAATGTGTTTGTGCATAACCTCAAACGATGCAGAACTAATTATACTAGGGACCCCGAGGGTGACATGAGAAAGACTAACAGCGCAGAGAGTGAGGATGCCAGCTCAACAGCCAAACGTTTACGATATAGTCTTGGACCGTTCGATTGGAAGAGTGATTGCTTTCTGTGGTAAAGATGCAGTTGTTGACCCCAGACATCCGGACAGAGAGTCAGTGTCAGAAGTAACATTACTTGGATTCAGAACAGATATTTTGAAACAATGTAGCAAACGTGATGACTATTGGGCACATGGGGTCATGACAAGACTGAACGATTGTATAGATCTAGTGGCCACGGAGGCACGATATCACAAAAAATGCTATACAGACTTCTATTTCACAAATAAAAGTGAGCGTCGGACGACCAGCTAATGAAGAAAAGCAAAACTGCTTTGAGGCCATGTGTTGTTGGCTCGATGAGGAAGGTAGCACTGAGAAAATGTCTTTGTCTGAACTCCATGAGAAAATGACAGACTTAGGTGATGGTAAAGAAGTGTACGGAATCAAGAGACTTCGGGAGAAACTTGTTGAACATTACGGTGAACATATGTTCTGGTCAACAGTAAAAGGTGGTCGTGATGATGTGCTATGTTTTCGCAATATGGCCAGCTATATTGTGCACGAGAAATGGCATTCTGAAAAAAGAGAAAATGCACAACTGGAGACAGAGCGAATAGTTCATACATGTGCACAACTTTTGAAAGAAGAGATACGTGAGCTAGGGTACTCTAAAATAAACTACCCCAGTACTTCCGACATCAATGATATCAACAAGGGAAGGGAATTTCTTTCTCCATTGACACAAATATTCATTGAGACAATAGTAAAAGATGATGTCAAACGCAACAGCATTGGTCAGGCCCTTACACAATCTGTTAGACTAACGTCAATAATGTCTCCCATTTTGTTTGGGATATCTGTCGAAATGGACCACGTATTTGGATCAAAGTGGCTTGTAGACGAATTGTTTCGGCTTGGGTTTTCAATCTCGCATTTAAGAGTTAACCTTGTACAAACAATCTATTTTACAAGAGGAAATTCTAGGTACACTGTCACCGCCTTCAGATGCAGTGATAACCCAGTGGGCCTCGGATAATGCAGATCATGATGTCAGGACCATCGATGGTGGAAATCAATTTCATGCAATGAGTACTATATCCATGTCTGCTGTTGAGAGAGTTCAACTGGACATCAATCAGCGGGTCAAACGCATGGCAAGACTGAAGGTTTCTGAATTAATCAGTGACAAGGGCATACCAATCATCCAGTATGCTGGTCCAGCTTCACCGGCACTTTCCTCCATTAAGTATAAGAAACTGCTGGAAACTCGAAGACCGTATATCATACCACCCGTATCGTACTATGCCAACATTCTTTGGCAGTCAGTACGTGTTTTCAACAAATCAAGTACACATACGCCTAACTACACTGGCTGCATGCAACACTTCTTCAGGACACTCGATAAGACTGGTATGAATAAATGTCAAGTGCTTATTCTTCCATTCATTGATCTCAACCCAAATGATGACACATGTATCTACTCAACCCTGCTATATATCAATGAGCAGTCTCAAAGGCTTGGACAACAGAGTGCATCTGTGACCTTTGACCAGCCACTGTGGCGGAAAGCTGTTGAAATCATCAAAGCTTAAGATCTCACTCGCGTAGTTTGTCGACTTGGTGGCTTCCATCTTCTAATGAGCGCGTGTGATAGTATATGTACTATTATGAAGGGTTCAGGACTTGAGAAAACCATGGGGGAAGTGTATGGTGCCAACACTGTCACTCATATAAGTACAGGAAAAGCAATTGCCAGAGCGTTACGTGCACATTTTCTTGTTGAAATACCGCTGATGACAAAGCTATTTTCTGGCATTAGAAGACTAAGCAATCGTTGCTGAAAACAGATCGGAGAACACTGATAAACTAACCCTGACTCAAGTGAACAAAATCAAAGAGCTGAATTATTTCATAAACCATGATGATTCCGTGTCAATTAGTGAGATAGTTGACTCTGAGGAACTAGTCGCATTAGACAAGTGCATTGAAAATCACAAAGCCCATTTATCGATTCAATCCCGCACTGCCAAGTTGTGGATTTTGTTGTCTGTACTACATACGTGTCATCAATGACTTCATAGCCATCCGCCAAGGATCATGAACACCTCAGGCGTTCAGCAAAAAGATCAGCTGATATCACAGTCACTGGTGCGTCCAAATGTCGTAGGGATAACGAGGCATTTTTCACGAACACGAACAAGACACAATTCATAGAACTCCTTGTAGGTATCCTGCAGTCAAAAGGGCATACCACCAAATGTAGTGACGGCGATGCAGATACCTTAATCGTATCAGCCGCTCTGGGTTTTTCACAGAATAACAAATCAGCGGTGGTTGTCGCAGAAGAAACAGATATTTTCATATTGCTGAAACCTCATTGGGAAACCAACATGGCTGATATATTCATCAGAAAAGAAAGCAAGACAAGCTAACAGAAGAAAGGTGCCGAGGTGAATAACATTCGTGAAGCCCATGAAGTCATAGACACAGTTTTGCTACAAAATATATTGTTCATTCACGCCTGGAGCGGATGTGATACTACATCATCTACTTTTGGACAAGGAAAAACACACCTATTGAAAGTGTTTCTAAAGTCATACAGTACCCAACTCCTTTCCCAAGATTTCACTAATGGGGAGAAAACACCACAACAAATCGGTACTCTTGGTATCTCAATATTCTGTCAACTCTACGGAGCAAAGGATGATGAGTCTTTGACTTCACTGACCACGTTGAGACACATCAGGTATCAGGCAATGGTTACTCGATGTAATCGAATTGAGCTTGAACGACTGATGTAGTTCCACTGATGAGGATTAGACCTGGTTCAAAATACGTTTCATGCGGTTGCTCACATAATTATAGAAAATAATAGGTCAATAAAATCAATACAATAAATGTTTGACTAATTGTTGCCAGAACCTATCATAAGGTCAACAATATTTTTTCTAGGAACTCTGCTACATGTGATACTCCTAAAGCATTTTGTTTGTATTTGGTCATTTTGTAAAAAAAAAAAATAGAAGTTCTTTTGTAATTTTTATGTGACCTTTGTTCTTGTCGTTTTGTATATATTTTTAGTTCCCGATGTGTTGATTCTGTGCTATTGGTTTTCCATATGTAACTGTTTTTGTAGAACCTTTAAGTGTGTACGCAACTAACAGGACAAAGGTGTGCATGAACGAGATTACCAATACTCTTCTGCAACATTAAAAAAAGCATGCTGAAGTCGGCATCAGAGCCTTGCTATCACAAGGAAGCAAACACACTAACATACCTTTCGCACACATACACATGTACACAACACACATGGAGTCGCATCATTAAATCTTCACATTTAACCACGTATAAATGGCAAACCCAATGTTTGTACATCAATTGTTATGTGCTTGTGGGTTCCTGCTCTATTCATACATACATTTCAGCAGGTTAGCTTGGATGATGCATTAGGCATTTCTAAAACTGTATTTCTAATCGTGGTACTTTGTCTTCATAGAAATGAAAAAGTTAAAAACAGAAACGTTGCGTTGATGCTATTCCTTTTATTCAGGTGTTTCAGGTGCAGTCGGCAATTTAACACAAAATGCGATTTGGCCGTCTAATAGCCCCCTCCACCACCACACCTGCATCCTCCATGGTACGGATCGCCATAGTAGTTCTTTATACAAACACATTTATTGGTGGCCTCGTTACAAACGGAGAATCGATAATTCTTGCACTTTCCTCCACATGGGACTGCAATTAGCAATAGTAAAAACATTACAATACTCGATAAATAATATCGACATGGTAATCGTATGTTAACCTAGTGTGAAATCGTCTTTTGCGCTCTTTCTTGCAAATGCATATAGAAAACAGCACTATAAATCTTATCTAGAATTTCCAGTGCTCAACTCTTGTAAAACAAGAGCAAATAATTGGGTTACCTAACACTACACTAAAGTGGACTTGTACAAGAAAGCTATCAAATATAGGAACATTTTGTGTAAGGTTGCGTACTGATAACTGTCAATCAGCCATCAACACATCTGTTTCCCAATATAATAATCAACCAATCGTACAAATGTAGCATAATCTCACATTAATGGACAAGTTCGCCTAAGAGTGCAAATTATTGTTTCAACACATAATTGTACACAGAATGTCAGTGGTGCAATCTCCAAACCGTAGCTTAATACTTACGATCGTCATCAGTGATTGTTACCGTGGTTACACTGCGAGTTCCGATTGCTCCCCCAGCACTTGCTGATGTTAAAGTCACTTTAAACGTTTCAATTCTCTCATAGATCTGTACGAATAGAAATAGATCTTTAGATGTCCTACTAAATTGAAATCTATACACTGACTATATTGAAATCGTTCATTAGTGTATTACCACATACCAGCGAACAATTGTTAAGCATTGGATTGATTTCGGATGCATGCACATCTGCTGTATCTTTTTGATATCGGCAGTGGAGTTCATTTTCTCATTGACAGAATCAACAGTGCAACTTTAGTTAATACCTAAAACACAATACTATATTATTGTTACTAATACATTTCCTTCATTTTATACGGTAAACAAGATCTTGTCTAGGTACATGCTAATTAAAGATACCAAGTCTTTCAAGCATCTATATAACACCTACCTGGTCGTTTACGATGGGAATTTGGATGAATTTCCATTTTTCACCAACTCCAAATGTAACACTTCCAGAAGCACCTCTGTAGTCGCTATTAAGTCTAGCCGTTATACTAGTGGATTTCCAGTACATAATGACTTTATGGAGTCCTCCGGATATTCTATCGACCTGTAGTTTCACTACACCGGCGCTCTCTTTTACCACATAACTCGATCGTGCAAATTGGAATGTGGCTTTAACTATGAAAATAAATAATTTACTCGTGAAAGTTCAATTTATATCAATTTTCATTTATTCATTATAACAGTTATCCCACAATGGTCAAAACCTCGCAATCACATTCTGTTTCTAATAACATAATTGTGTTTGTCGATTATTTCAAGTTCATATATGTCTAAATATCCAAGAGACCTACTTTATGATTTCTTAATAACCTTAACTTTTCTTAATCATCTCAACTTATTTTAAGACTGTTTCAAAATACAAATGTTACTTTAAAAAGGCATTAGAACATATCTATTCTGATGAGGGAAACTTACGTATGCAGCCGCCATATGGATTACCCACGAATCCTGGTTTACAGGAACATTTGAATGTATTCTTGTTGCAGATTGTATTTGCTTTACATTTTTTCCAGCATGGCTCTGAAACGAAACGATTTTGAAATGTCATATTTTTCATATGGTATCTGTTATTACGTACATGAATACATTGACTTTCGTTATTGACACACTTTATTATTACATTGTAACTTGATATCTTAAATATTATAAAATAATTCATCAACACGTATTGAACAAATATCTAAATGGATGGCAAGAGATCAAACGTGGAATATGTACGATTATGATATCTTACCGACACAACGGTGAGCACTATCGCCATGGTAACCTGGGTTACACACACATCTTCTGTTAATTAGTGTGGATCCTGAACAACACCTAATAGGATAGGTTCCCTCTGTAACATGATGACGCCATACATTATCCAACAGAACCAACTCATTAACACAGTTCAAATATTTAGTATAAATATGTGATTCCACGTATACGTATCTGACATAACAGTATCGTTGAAATGCCAGACTATATTTTTGAAGCATCTTTCATGAATGTAACTTCAGTTTTACACGTACAATGTATATATGATAACTCATATTTATATCTATCAAACACCAGTTCGTGACCTAAGGTAAACATATGACGGTACTTACTGACTGCAGGTCTATGATTACATAGAACATATGCGTACCATATTGTTTCAAAATTATTAATAAACATATGACGGTTCCTAATGACTGTAGGTCTATGATTATATAGAACATGCATGTACCATATTGTTTCAAAATGTTTTACCACCGTCATCGAACTAAAACAAATATACATACGTGTTGTCCCGAACAACGAGAGGACGCAGAGCGTGAAGCAAAACCCTAGCGTTGGTATGGAGTGGAACATCTTGAAGAGTGGTTGGAGATTGCTTACTACTTGGGTATATTTATACAAAAATCATCTTATGACTTTTACAGTACCCAGTGAAATTCTATGTAGATGTAATAGGATTAGTTTACGTAATGCGATCAGTAATCTTGTGGTTGTGGACATTAAAGTCACCGACAATTGTTATGGTAACACAAACATTTTTTTTATTCTTGTACCGTAATCACGATGTCAACATCTGTTTTTTTACATACTGGTGTACCAGAATGTGACTTTGAAGTAGATGGTATATTTTTACATTTGAATCATTGCGTATCGTGTAAGTACTACAGATTCTGCAAACTACGGAAATATTTCATTTTTAATCTGATCCTATTATGCCGATACTGCTTTTGTGCGTTTGTTCAGTCATGCATGTTTTTGTATCGAAATTGATCTGAACTATGAAACATAAAACATCGTCGAGTATGGCCAAGGTTTAAAAGGTGTACCATCGAAAATGAAATTTATATAATTTTCTAATCGAAATGCAAACATTAGCATTAGCAAGAGGCCCAATGGTCCTTCATCGCTCACCTGGTATTAATCGAATACTTTTAACCTTACATGGACTATTTAGTCAAATAGCATCCTGAAAATGCATAAGATACTGAAAATAAATACTTCCTAACGAAATTTCGTGCTGTTGATAATGACATGCGACCTGAAGCCAACGTCCAGTGTGGTCAGATTTATGTTTGGGAAAGCCGTTGATAAATATAAATACAACATCCGGGATTGGTTTGTTTGTTTGTTTGTTTGATTTTGTTTAACGTCCTATTAACAGCTAAGGTCATTTAAGGACGGCCTCCCCTGTGTGCAAGATGCATGCGTGTAGTGTATGTGTGTGTATTTTGGGAGGCTGCGATATGTTCGTGTTTGTCTTCTTGTGATAGCGCGGAACTGATGCCGACTT